GGCCACCATACACTCTGTTGCATGATCCCGTTCTGTAAGTGAACTCCACATCAAACTCGGCAAGCACCTCTTGCCACCGAGCATGTCTCCACGTCAGTTTGGGCCAGGAGAGAAAGTTACTTGCCGCTGTGTTATCAATGCGAATGGTGAACTTTAACCCCAATAAGTAGTGTCTACGTCCTCTTAGGCAGTGCATAATAGAGAGCAATTCCTTCTCTTGTGCCGCATACCTCCTCTCGGCATTATTCAACTTTCTGCTTTCAAATGCGATAGGGTGCTCTTCTTGGAGAAGTACTCCTCCTAGTGCAAAGTCCAACGCATTTATCTCTACCACAAATGGTTTGTTGACTTGGAAAAGCAAGGACCGACTTTTTCAGCACTACCTCATTGAGCTTTTGAAAAGCTTCCTTCTGTGGTCCTGACCATTCCCAACAACTTTCTTTCCGCCACAGGTCGATTAGAGGGCTCGCGATCTTCGAGTATCCCTTTATTAGTCGTCGATAGTAGTTTGCCAAACCTAAGAAAGATTGCAATTAGGAGGTGTTTTTGGGGTCTTGCCAGTCATGAACAACACATATCTTCTTGGGTTTCATTCTCAATCGACCCTTCCCCACAAAATGTCCAAGAAATCCAAATTCTTCCTGCGTGAAGGCACACTTCTCTCGCTTCACAAATAAGTGATGTTCTCTCAACTTCTCGAAGACCATCTTTAGGTGATCGAGATGTTCTTCAAAATTCTTGCTATGGACCACAATTTCATCTAGGTACACAACCACAAATTTATCTAAGTATTCGCTAAACACTTGGTTCATCAGAGTGCTGAAGGTAGCGGGTGCATTCGTCAACCCGAAAGGCATAACTAGCCATTCAAATGCCCCATACCTCGTCACATAAGTTGTCTTGTGTACATCTCCTTCGGCGATGCAATTTTGGTGATAGCCGGACTTCAAGTTTAGCTTGGTGAAGTATACTGCATCCCCTAACTGATCGAACAGATCTGCCACCAAAGGAATGGGGTGGTGATTGTGCACCGTTACCTTATTTAATGCTTGGTAAATGATGCATAATCTAAGACTCCCATCTTGTTTCTTCTGAAAGAATACTGGTGCCCCGTAAGGAGCCTTTGAGGGGCGGATGAAGCTTGCTTCCAGTAAGTCCTCCAGTTGTCTCCGGAATTCCGCTAATTCCGGGGGAGCCATGTGATAGGGGCTACGTGCTGGAGGTTTTTCCTCGGGCACAAGCTCAATCTCATGGTCCACCGCCCTCCTAAGAGAAAGTACTTCTAGTAGTTGTTTTGGGAGAGGATCATCGAATTCTGCTAATAACTCGGCAAGGGCTAGAGGGAGGTTGCCACTTGCTTCATCCTCCTTGGTGGAGAGGATTACGAGGAACATGGGCTCATTCCTCTTCAAACCCTTCTCTAATTGCATGGCCGAGGGGAAGGGACCTTTTAGCCCTTTTCCCTGATTACAGGCTCTGAGGAGGCACGGTTACTGCCCTGCCACTGGTATAGATCTAAGGTGCGGCATCGGAATGGCCTTACTTACATGTAGGAAGTCCATACTAAGCACCAAGCTGAAATCATCCATTGTAGCTACTAAAAATTCCAACTATCCACTCTAATCCCCTAGCTTCATTACCACCTTCTTGGCGACGCTGTGGATGAGCTGAATTCACAGCTTTCATGCTACTCGCTTCTTGTAGGAGCTTCAACCCCAGTCTTTTTGCCTCCTTTTCTGAAATGAAGTTGTGGGTGGCACCCGTATCCACCATTGCCCGGGCTTCCTTCCCATTTATTAACACATCCACATACATCAACTCAGCATTCTTGGATTAGCCCATAGCATACATCATGCGAACTGCACCCAACCTTAAAGGTTCCTCTTCACCAAATTCTATCTCATCGCCTTCTTTGGGCTATGTCACTTCTACTGACATAGAGGACAATTTCTTTTGGAGATTGTCAATTTCTCCCTTGTGGAAACACTCAAACCACTTGTGCAGTCCTCGACAAAGGATGCACGTCAAGGGTCTTGCTGCCAATTATGATCCAGAGGTGCTTCCTTTACTAGAGAAGGAGGAAGCCCCACTCTTCTGGGAGTCTTCTCCGCCAACTCTTATTATATTTATTGTTCAAGTTGTTAGAGATAACTTGGGAGCTGTATCCTGAGTTTCTAGGAGGGTTTGGTGTTGGGTCGATACTTCCCTTCTTCTGATTCTGCTCTTTATTTGACGAGTAATCCATCAGCCTTTTATCTACGCCTATGGCCCCCGACAAAGTATCAATTTTCCAGCGCTAAATCTCCCTTTGGGCCTAATCTTTCAAGCCGCACACAAAGTTGAACAGACGGTCCTTCTCAGACATGTCATGGATCTCCAACATGCACGCAGAATATTCTTTCACATACTCTCGAATGGAGCTCTTATGTTGTACAGTTGCGAGCTTGGTGAGAGCAACAAACTCAATATTCTCGAGGTAAAACTGAGCCATAAGTTCTTTCTTTAGATCCTCCCAAGTATCTATCGACGTCCTCTCAGCTTGGGTGTCGGTGTAGTTGGTGCTCCACCAAAGTTAAGCGTCATCCACTAAATACATCGTGGCAGTATCAACCTTTAGCTCGTCCTCCAACTGACATATGCAGAAGTATTGTTCCATGTCGAAGATGAAGTTACGGACTTCTTTTGAATCTCTCGTGCCATTAAAGGTCCAAGGCTTAGGGGGTTTTATCTTGGCACCTCCACTTCCCCCAAGCCCTCTTTAGGCACACATCAAGGTCGCACATTTGTCTAGTGCTTCGTCAGCCAACCCTTGCACACAATTAAGCTACTCCGTCAGCCCATCTACAGTCGACGCAAGCCTCTCCATTTGCTTGGCTTGCTTTATCACAATATCTTCGAGTTTGGGCAACCTTTCTTCAAGCATTTGACTTGCCTTCAAGCAAGGCAATTCGTTCTTCCCACGTATCCCAATGTTCAGGCATCTCCCTGTCCTCTCTAGAATGAGCCTTGGCTCTGATACCAACTGTCACGGTCCGAAAAATCTGGCTCGGGGCCGTGCGACGCACACTCGTCAAAGGAGCAACAAGGGTGCAGCCAAGAGTCTTAAGTGTTACGAGGTTAGTAGCAACACAATTGAGAAGGCATCTTTGGGGTTCACTCTTGTCTATTGGGAAGCAAGAGTAAGAGCAAAGGTCGGTCGGGGCTCGTGAGGACTGATCAAGCCAAAGTGCTCACAAGCAAGTCCGGACAAGTGTATGTTTTGGAGGGTCTCTAGGGGGGCGCTTTGAGATCTTCTAGCACTAGTATTAAGAGTTTAAACAACAACAATTTCAAATCAGGTAGGAGCCTTTTAAGTTCATTGATCACTCGCTCCCTAAAGAGCCTTAAATAGAATTTACAATAGAAATCTAGTGAACTCTATACTGACAGTAACACAATAATTCTACTTAAAGCCTAGAAAAACTTAAAGAAAAGCCTAGAAAGCTACACATTATTAAAATACAAGTAAAAGGAAGAAGAATACATAAGAAAGGAGGTGGATTCTAACACTAAGACACAAACCACAATTTGACCTTTGATGATCTTCTATACAGCACAATTGGCAGTTTTGGCACAGTAGCCGCTCTAGCTGGCCGACCATCTATTGCGCAGGCATAACATTACAACTAAGTGAGTAACAAAATGGCCCATCGACGCACAATGATTAAATGGTACACATGATGGTGGGGTGTGGAACAACTTGAAAAAAATTTCATGGACCTAGTCCACAATATTATTACTGTGGACCTGAGGTTTATGCGCACGCAATTGACGTTATATTTGAACATTGTGACCCTAAGTTTAACATATTAACCTTATTGTTAACATAGTAACCTTTATTTGAACTTGTGTGACCTTTATTGTTATTATAAACCTGAAGTGCGATGTTATGTTGAACATAGCAACATTAATTTTAACATGTTGACCTTTATTATTCATATTGATTGGTATATAAAATATTCATTAAAAAAAATTAACCTTTTATAGCATTTATAATGCCACAATGACTTTTATTTCAACATAGTAACCTTTAATTTAATATATTGACTTTTTTATTAATAAAATAGCCATAATGTCTCTAATATTAGTGGTTTACACAATAAATTAGTATAAACCAGGTCCATTTAAGAGTTTGTAGTAACAACTAGTTTATATAAGTAAAGAAGTAATGTGTAGTACTTCGTATAAGAAGTCAAATCAATTGAAGTAACAAAATGTGGAGGTTTTTATTAAATGCTCTACCAACGTTTAGGGGTGTACATGAACAGGACCGGACCTGAAAACCGACCTGACCCTGACCTGTTGGGACCGGACCTGACCCGGACCTGTAGATTCAGGTCCGGTCCCGGTCCTTGAAAATCAAGGTTTCCGGTCCCGGTCCGGATCAGGTTCAAACCCGGGGTTTTCAGGTCTGGACCTAAAACCCGTTAAAAATGCGTTTTTTTTTTTAAAAAAAAAAAAAAAAAAAAAAAATTCCCAAATTTCAAAAGATGTCAGTTTCATTTTTGTTAACACACTAACCCTAATTCACTCCTCACTCACTCTCTCTCTCTCTCAGCCGACAAGCACACACGGCAACACCCACTCCCTCCAGACCACCGCCCAGGCGCCCAACACAAGTCGGAAGTCGCCACCGCCCACCAGACGTCCAGACCAGCAGCGACTACACGTTGTACATCCTGCAACGACGAGTCGACGACTACACCCTGCATCTGCATCTCACTGTAAGTTCTTTTTTTTTAATTAAATCTAATTATATTTGAATTGGGTATTTTGTATTTCAATTGCTTATGATGATTGTTTGATGTTTGTAAGTTCTGTTTTTTAGTTAATTTTTTTTTCGAATTCATGATTTTTTTTTGAGGTTTTTTTTATTTATTTTAAGTAACTGTTTTTGAATTATTTTAGTTCATTTGTTTCGAATGCATGTTGAATTTTGGTATCCTGTAAGTTCTTTTTTTTTTTTAAATTAAATCTAATTATATTTGAATTGGGTATTTTGTATTTCAATTGCTTATTATGATTGTTTGATGTTTGCAAGTTCTGTTTTTTAGTTCTTTTTTTCGAATTCATGATTTTTTATTGAGGTTTTTTTATTTATTTTAAGTAACTGTTTTTTAATTATTTTAGTTCATTTGTTTCGAATGCATGTTGAATTTTGGTTTCTTTCGATTTGTGTGTTTAAAATCTGTTTATTCCGTGAATTTGCTCGGAGTAGATTGATAAATCTGTTTAAAGTAGATTGATAAATCTGTTTAAAATCTGTTTCTTTCGAATTTAGTTCATATTGTAGAATTTGTTGCCTTGCTGGTGTATTGTATATTTGTATGTATTCTGTTTATTTTGTGAATTCAATTTGAATTGTAATTGAATTCTATCGTTTTATATGTTTAGGATCAACAAGAACCACGGATTCTTACTCTTGCAATGTAAGTTGTTCTCACATTTTTTTATAAAATGTTATGTGTTTATAATTGTTACTTAAAAATTACTTATATTGTGTATAATTATATTGAAGATTGTGTATAATTATATTGAAGATGGAGAGCTCTCAATCCAAAAGATCTGCTGCTTTTTCTCAAGAAATGTCACAGCCACTTTCTGAAAAGGATATGGAAGAATTGCAATCTACTTTGCCTCCAGATAAGAAGTTAAAAGCGGGGCGGGAATACATATGGAACAGAAAAAGTAAGAGGATATGGAAGAAAATTTGAAAGAGTTACAAGAAATGGAGAAAGGTAGTATTAATTTTATGTACTTGTAATTTTGTTACACCAAATTTATTATTTCATTGTTATCATTCATTAATATATTCTATAATGTTTTTTTATTTAGAGGTGCAACATGATGTATCTAACGATGGAGACGATGAAGTTGTTTTCGTTGACTCATTAGTGTGAATCACGCAATCAAAGGGAAAGCAACTCGCCAAAATTCAAGTTGTCTTTGGATAATTTATGTATTTCTAGTATTTGAGACTTAGAGACTTTATGTAATTTAATGAATTATTTGTTATATTTGAGACTTATAGATTTTATGTAGTTTTTGTCATTGATATTTTCATATTTTATGTAAACAGGTCTATAATCAGGTCCAACAGGTTATTTATTTTCTTTTAAAAAAAACAAAAAAAAACACACAAAACAGGTCTGTTCAGGTCTGGACCTGACCCGGACCTGATTGCTCAGGTCTGGACCTGACCCGGACCTGCTGAATCAGGTCCGGTCCCCGGTCCTCAGAATTGGCTGATTCAGGTCCCGGTCCTAACAGGTCCGGTCCGGTTTTGGACCGGTGTACAGCCCTACCAACGTTAGCTTACATTAAGTCTTTTCATTATTTATATGCATTTAATTATGGATAAATATTATTTAATTTTATATACTTCCTCTGTTTGATTTTAGTTGCATCACTTTCCTAAAATAGAAGTTTCAAATTCGTTGCATCCTATCACATAAGTCTATTTTTTATCACCCATCCCCAAAAATTGCCTTGGAACCTATAATTGTCAAAGTTATACAGCTAAAAAACCGAAGAATATATAAATATATATTGTTAGGAAATAGACAAGGATCGATAGATTTAGGTCATTTGTTTGATATGCGCAGAACATAGACAAGAATATATAAAACCTAAATTTAACAAATAATGTAGAAAATATATGAGATGAACATACAGATATACGTGGTTCGACCAATATGACCTACGTCCATAGGGTAAGGGATAGTTTTTTCTTATTATTTTTCATGGAGGATAAACAAGAGAGATAACAAAGGAGATACAACACTCTCCATATCACAAAAATCTCTCAAGTGGAGTGTTAGAGATATGAGATATCAGAAAATATATGTGTGATATATTTTCCGTAGATATCATTAAGAGAATAATATATTTAGGATATTTATGCTAAGATATTATTTAATGAATATATCTTTAGGATATATAGTTATGGTAGTATATCTTTTAAAAGGATTGTTTACTATCTTATTTTCGTAGGTTTTGTATAAATATTCTACCTATTGATCAATAAAAAACAAGTCATCCTATATATCTCTTTCACCCTAATTTGTCATAGTATCAAGAGCAGGTTATATTTTGGGATCGTTCACAAAAATTTCCCCCTATCGGTGGGTTGGAAATTAAATCCACCGGTGCGATAAACCTTTTGTCATAGCAAAACCATAAAAGAAAATTTTTTGCCGCTATGCAAGTTAAATTATGTTTGTGGGTGAAGAGTTTGATGATTTGATGTTTTTATGTCATGAGTGGCTTTGATTCTCAAAGAAGAAGATAGGTGCCAATGTGGCATCGATCTAGGTTTATTTATTTATTTTTATTTAAAAAAAAAAAATTGGCTTTCTTGTGTCGTGAGACAAGATATATTGGTTCTCCTTGTGTCGTGAGACAGGGTTTTATATATGGGTTCTCCTTGTGTCGTGAGACAGGGTTTGGTTCTCTTTGTACCTTGAAATGTCAGGATTTTATATTTCAAAACGACAGGAAAAGCATATTAGTTTCCTTATACCTTGAGACTACAGGACATTATACCTTGAGACGACAGGGCAAGCATATGACGAGTTCAAGAAAAAGAGACGTTCTTGTTGTAATGTTATTTTGCAAGTTCGAAAAGAATGATGTTCCTACTTGGTTGATGATTGATGGGTTCGAAAAGCTGAACATTCTCATCATTCAAAAAAAAATTGAAGGCGACATCAACAAAGTAGCGCATCTCGTTTGACTTCAACAAAGTTAAGAATTTTCAATCGCAACGTTCGTGTTATTGCCGTTATAATTGCGGGAGGGTGTTGGAGATATGAGATATCGGAAAATATATGTGTGATATATTTTCCGTAGATAACATTAAGAGAATCATATATTTAGGATATATATTTAGGACATTTATGTTAAGATATTATTTAGTGAATATATCTTTAGGATATGTAGTTATGGTAGTATATCTTTTAGGAAGATTGTTTAGTATCTTATTTTCGTAGGTTTTGTATAAATACTCTACCTATTGATCAATAATAAACATGTCATTCTATTTATCTCTTTTACCCCTAGTTTGTCATGGAGTTACATAACGACTTGATCAATTAGCTAGGATAATTAATCAATATTTAGCACTTCTAATTGTCCACCTAATAGTTCCTAATATAACATAAGATAACCCTAAATAAACCCTAAATTATTCCCCAAGGAATATTATTAGTAGTCGTCATAAGCGTACCCGAAAATAGGAAGCAAAAATGTAATACTCCGTAGTTTTATTATATTTTTATATATATAAATTATTTTATTTATTTTTATAAATTAAAATGATTCATATCATTTTAAAAAGAATTTTTTTTTAAATATTATGTGAGTGTACATAAAATAATATGAGTCATTAATTGAGGCAATAAAAGTGTTTTGAATTGGGTCATTTTTGTTTTAATAGTTGGATCAACTTGTTGGGGAATTGAGGACCCTTAAAAACCCAACAAGTTAGCCCCAAAATGAAGAAGTCAAGGGGGAGTAGGATTTAGTGATGGCAGTTTTGTAATTATGAATTTTTGTTTTAAAAGGGGAGTATAAATACTTCAAAACCTCAAGATTTTTCATTCTAAAATCATAATTGTCAGATTTCACAAAAATTCCAAAGGTTTTCTCTTTATTTTTTCTCTCCTCTTTCCCCATATTTTTCCTCTCATTTTCTTCTTCTTTCCTCTCCTTCCCCACACCTATCTCTCCCTCGTCTTCTCCACTCACGCCGTCAGCCATCGGCGCCACCGACGGCAGCAGCAGCAACTGGCAGCCCGCCGGCCACCCTCTCCTTCTCTCTCTCCTTTTCTTTTCGGTTTTGGTATTATTATAAAAAAATTATAAAAAAAAAATAAAAAAATGAAAAAAAAATCTTTTCTCTTTCTAATTTAATTCTATTGTATTTATTAATTTGAAGTATGATTTTGATTATATTTTGGTATTGATTTTGGGTATTTGATGTTGTTAAGTTAATTATATAATTTTCAGATTTTTACTCAATCAATTAAACTCCAATTTACAAACCCTGAAATTTGGGAATATAATGTTTATGGTTAGGGTTTGATCCTAGGTTGATGTTGTTGTTTAATTAATGGTCTAAACATGTTTTTAATGAGTTTAAAGCCCTCAAATTAATGTTGAAATTTATCTATGCACATTACTTTTAAATTATTGAGTTAGGGTTTGATTACCCATAAAAGGGAAAAAGGTTTTAATGATTTAAATATGATTTCCTAATCTATTAGTGATGTTTGACATTATACAAGTATGCTGAAATTTTATTTAAATCATACAAAATTAAGTCTTTTTGAAAAGATTTGAAGTACCCACTTGAAGAAAAGGTTTTATGGCTTTTATGTCATTAAATTGGGTTAATTAGTAAGGTTTAAAGAGTATTATAGTTGCTGGAAATTTGTGAGAATAGTGGATTAATTATAGTTATGTATTCTTATTTGTAGGAAGTTTCGAGCCAGGTGATTTCTAGCGAGTGTGGCCGAGTTTAGGCATTATTCAAGTTACGTATGTGCACGAGAATATTTGTGTATGTGTAGTATCATGCTAGGATTTGTAAAGTATGATTTAAGTGATAAATTAGTAGCATGTTTGGTTGATTATATGCTTGGAATTGATGTTGGTTGAGCATGTATTGTTATGCAAGCATGTGAATATATTATTTGAGGCATGATACAAGTTGAGTATGTATGAATCATGGAAGTATGTTTTATTTTCAAGTATCAAGAAAGCATGTATTTAATAAGCAAGGCTTATATATGAGTTAAAGTGCTAAAGTTAGAATTATTGATCATGATTCATGAATTTATTTCTCACCCATTTATTATTGGTGTTGAGTCAAGAAGTTAGTTTATTTATTTACTCACTTAAGTAAGTTGACTTTGAGTCAAGGAAGTTTAGTAGTGCATCTTATGCACCAAAGTAGTAATCGTGCGATTTTGTGCACAAAACTAGGCAAGGAACCTTAATTAAAATAAATAGTATGTGCTCACTAATAAATTCAAGAATGAATTGGAGATTTGTGTTGAATGTTGTTATGTTGTTCTTGATTGATTGGTTTGAGTCATCACAAGTTTAATTGGTGAAACATGTAAAGTGTAAGAGAATACGCACCAAAACTCTTGGAACGTATATACCTTGAGTATGAACATATGGGGGGAGTTATGGGGTTTTATATTTAACCATAGCTTCTACAGGGGTACAAGACATTGTACTTTCTTTTATTATTAATGCGCTGGGATTCCGTCACCAAGTGTGACATAGTAAGTGCCAATTGGGGTAGCTCCCTAATTGGAAGCTCAATATTTAAATGGGCTATTTTCAAAGAAGGAAACCCATTTGATGCGTAATCCAAAATTATTATTAATAATTAATATTGCTAGTTATGAGTCAAAGGTAAGTTGACTTGTGATTGTGTGGCGAGCATGTTTTAATTTTTACATTTATTTTGATGCTAGGATATTCATGTTAGTGTGGTGCATATGTACTTGTTGATTCGTACTTTTGTGTTTGTATATGGCTTAGCCCTACTATGACGCATTTATATGGTGAGTAGAAAGTTGAATAGAGAGAAAGTAACAGGTACTTGAAGCATGAAAAGTATGATGGGATAGAGTGCAAAGAATTACTTGTTATGTATATTAGTTTTAATGTTTTTAAATTATTGGTTATTGTTCATGGACTAACATTATTATGTTTGTTTTTAATTGGTTTTAAGAAGGGTCATATGTTTGAATTGGTTCCAACTTGTGAATGTTTTATTTTACTTTTGTTTTGAGGTTGTGAACTCAAGTTTTAACTTTTATTTTATAAAGTTGGTTTTTATGTTTTAGACTTCTGTTGTGAGACTTTGAAAACTAGTCTTAGCCGTTATCATGATGACGGTAATATTTTGGTTGTTTCCTAAAAAGGGTTTTATTTAGAGTAAAAGACAGTATTTTTAAAGGAAGGAAATTTCCAAGGTATTACAAAAAACGTCTCACTCGACTAGGCACAGGCGTGCTATGTAGGGCACGTCCGTGTTT